CATGCTCATCCTACACACGGGGAGGGGGGGACTTCTGGTGGGCAAGGGCCCCTGGGCTCTAATGGGGTCATCTCTGGCAGCCCACTTGGGCCAGCTACATGGGAGGGAGGAATCTACACAGCTGACCAAATCCAGCTTCGGATGAGGTGAGGGAGGAGCAGGTCGGGAGGGGGGCCCTTGTAGGGACGCGTACACTCACACGGACACATGTGGCCACACGCATGTGCGGGTGCCATAACCGGCGAGGCTGGGCCAGCCGCTCCACCATTTTCCCGACTGCATGGAGACAGTAGAATTAGTGAACCCCTGAGTTAACCCGTAAGGCCTTCCGTGTAACCTGCATCTAGAGTTTAAGAAGCTTCTGCTGTTTTGCCGGAATTGGCGGTGACTGGGGAGGGCTGGGTGGGTGGGGGGCCTCAGGCGGGATCCCGGGGCGGGGGGAGGAGGATGGTGACCTTAGGGGTTGCCCTGTCAGCACGCACACGCTTGGGACCCGCTCCACACACTCCCTGCCAGCTTTGTCAGCTGGTGTGTCTCCGTCCTTGTCCTAGCCCAGCTTGAAGGGTGGGGACCACTGGAGTGGCTGGGGCTGGCCAGAGGAGGTCACCCTTTCTCCTTCCTGTGTGCTCCAGTCAGTGGCTTTTGAAGACGCTGGGCTGGGACCTTTTTCCTGAAGAGAGCTGGGTGCAACCAGAGCTACCGGCACCTACCCCCAGCCTCTATCTAAGCAGCTTCAGGGGCAGTCCGTTTCTCTGTGCTTCTGAAAGCCCCCTTCTCACGTTGTGGGCCTGAGTTTTAACTCAAGGGCCTGGGCAGGGGCATTTGATTGATGATGACAGAGGACAAAGGTTTATGCTTTGCCAACAAGAAGGAAAACCAAGGCTTGGTGGAAGGAAAAGGTGGTGTGTCCCCTGTTCCCCACCCCATCTCCCGGGTACTTCCTGCTCATCGTAGTACCCAGTGAGCCCACAGATCCTACTAGACTGGGTCAGCAATTCTAGAGAACCTTCCTGAATAGTCTGGGGAAATGGTCAAGGTGGGTGGGGCTCCCCTAGAAAGGGAAGGGGGTGTAGTACTTCCCAGTTGACTAGAAAACTGGGCTCTGCAGACCCTCTTAGCATTTTTTTCCTTTCCTGCTTTCTACTTTTGGGGGCCCCTTGTGTTTTGGGGTTTGACTGGAGTCACATCCTGGGGCCTGCTCCATCCATCTCTCCTCGGTCCCAGACCCTGTCCATCCTAGCCCTGTCTTACCATAGTCAGGATCAGGCCCTGCCTCTATTCCAGGGGGCACTCAGTGCACATTCCATAAATTAGCTGGGTGTCCCTGCACACCCACCCCCATGAAACTCGAGCAGGTCTCTGGAAGCCATTTGTAAAAAAAAAAAAAAAAAAAAAAAAAAAAATTTTAAAAATACCTTTTAATTTTCTGGTAATTCCAGTTTTTTGGAGCATCCTCTGCTGGGTCTTGGGGTGTGTAGATGGACTGGCAGTCTGCTGGGATTGGTAACCCCTCTCTCTTCAAGATGGGGGCCTCCAAACGCCTTCAGGGAAGGGGAGCCTGGTTCTTCTTCTTTTCCTTTCCTTTTTCTTTTTTTTTAACTATTTAATTTTTTTTATTTATTTTTGGTTATTTTTTGCACAATGAAGTTTCAGCTTCTCAACCTTCTCCCCTACCCAGGGCTGTGGACCCAGACTGGCCTTGAGCCACAGTCCCTCTTTCCCTCCTCACCCTCTTCCCTCTGCGGGCTCCCGGGTCTGTCCATTTGTTACTGTGCTGTGCTGGGGATTGGCGCCGAGGTGGCGTGAGATTCCACTTGTGTAGAACTTTGTTGAGTAAAGATCAGTTTCTTGTGAACCCTTTAGTCTGTGGCTTCCTATGTCCTTGGCTTTGGTAGTGAAGAAATGTAGGGGGCAGCCAGGATGCTTGAGAGTGGGAAGATAGATGAATGTGAAAGATTGAAGATTAAATTTGTGACATACATGAAATGTGCAGCTCATTCTCTGGGACATCAGCTTACTAAGGTGAGCTATTAGTGTCACAGCCCAGGTTCAAGTTGCCCCTCCGCCATACTGTAAACTGAGTGGTCAGGGGTGAGGCCTTGCCGCACTCTTACCAGCTGACCCTGGGTCAAGATTTTTGTAGAAGGCTCAGCCCAGCCCCAGGCTTGAGATAAATGTATTTATTTTTATTTTTATTTTTTTGAGATGGAGTCTCACTCTGTCCCCCAGGCTGGAGTGCAGTGGCGTGATCTCAGCTCACTGTAACCTCCACCTCTTGGGTTCAAGCAGTTCTCTACCTCAGCCTCCCGAGTAGCTGGGATTACAGGTGCCTGCCACCACACCCAGCTGATTTTTTTTTTTTTTAAATTTTTTTTGTATTTTTAGTAAGGTTGGGGTTTCACTGTTGGCCAGGCTGGTCTTGAACTCCTGACCTCATAATCCACCCACCTCAGCCTCCCAAAGTGCTGGGATTACAGGTGTGAGCCACCGCACCTGGCCTGGGAAATTATTATTATGAGTTACAATTAGGCAAATGAGAAGTTGTTCTACTTGTGGGAAAAAACACAGTCTTAAGAATAATATCTTTTTTTGTTTGAGACCAGGTCTTGCTCTGCCACCCAGGCTGGAGTGCAGCCTCAGCTTCCCTGGGTCAAGCAATCCTCCCACTTCAGCTACCCAACTACCTGGGACTACAGGTGCATGCCACCATGCTGGTTAATTTTTTTAAATCTTTTTTGGAGATGGAGTCTCACTCTTGCCCAGGCTGGAGTGCAATGGCTCCATCTCAGCTCACGGCAACCTCTGCCCCACCTGGGATTCAAGCGATTCTCTTGCCTCAGCCTGCACAAATAGCTGAAATTACATGGGCTTGTCATTGCACCCAGCTAATTTTTGTATTTTTTGTTGGGGAGGGGTGTCTTGCTATGTTGCGGAGGCTGTTCTTGAACTCCTTGGCTCAAGCAATCCACTTGCTTCAGCCTCCCAAAGTGCTGGGATTACAGGTGTCGACCACTGCCCCCGCCAGAATAAAATCTTATTGCAACCTTGGTGTGGCCCAAAGATCAACTGGGAAAATTTAAAAATGTTGACACATGGCTGGTCCCAGTGCAGTGATGTTTACAACTAATTGATCACAACCAGTTACAGATTTCTTTGTTCTTCTGCACTCCCACTGCTTCACTTGACTAGTCTTTTAAAATTAAAAAATACACATATAGGCCGGGCGCGGTGGCTCAAGCCTGTAATCCTAGCACTTTGGGAGGCCAAGGCGGGTGGATCACGAAGTCAATAGATCGAGACCATCCTGGTCAACATGGTGAAACCCCGTCTCTACTAAAAATACAAAAAATTAGCTGGGCATGGTGGCACATGCCTGTAATCCCAGCTACTCAGGAGGCTGAGGCAGGAGAATTGCCTGAACCCAGGAGGCGGAGGTTGCGGTGAGCCGAGATCGCGCCATGGCACTCCAGCCTGGGTAACAAGAGTGAAACTCCGTCTCAAAAAAAAAAAAAAAAAAAAAAAAAAAAAAAAAAAATACACGTATATATAGACACACATCAAACATTCAACAAATAAGGACTGCATTATAGTGAGAGGAAAGACTATAAAAAGTGGAACCATGCTAAGTCCCATAGAGAAAAACAGGAAGGCAGAAAGAGAATAGTGGGGGAAATGATTGAAATCTTACGTAGGGTTCCCTGGAAAGGGTACACTGAGAAGACGGTGTTTTAACACAGCCAAGTAGAGAAAACAAATACTGCTCAGATCATCTGTGCGGCTCGGTTAGCTGCCTGGGTCAAAAGACCCGTTTAGTAAATAAAGACATGCTGTTTTAGTAAGTGTGATTTTATTAGTTGAAAGTACCTTTCCACCAGGCGCGGTGGGTCACGCCTGTAATTCTAACACTTTGGGAGACTGATTGGGGGGCGGATAGCTTGAGCTGAGGCGTTTGATACCAGCCTGGACAACATAGTGAAACCCTGTTTTTAAAAAATACAAAAATTAGGCTGGATGCGGTGGCTCACGCCGCTAATTCTAGCACTTTGGGAGGCCGAGGTGGGCGGATCACGAGGTCAGGAAACCCAGACCACCCTGGCCAACATGGTGAAATCCCGTCTCTACTAAAACACAAAGAATTAGCCAGGAGTGGTGGGCGCACCTGTAGTCCAGCTACTCGGGAGGCTAAGGTAGAATCGGTTGAACCCGGGAGGCGGAGATTGCAGTAAGCCGAGATCGCGCCACTGCACTCCAGCCTGATGACAGAGCCAGAGCGAGACACCATCTCAAAAAACAAACAACAAAAACGCTAGATGTGGTGGTTCGCTCCTGCAGTACCAGCTACTGGGGTCCAGGCGAAGCATCACTTGGGCCCAGGGGACAAAGGTTGCAATGAGCCGAGCACTCCACTTGGAGGACTGCACTGCAGTATCCAAGTTTGGGTTGGGGAATGGAGCCTAGAGAGGTAGTTCTGACTCCCCAGTTCCTTTCTCAATAAATAAAAAGGTAACTTTAACTGAGGCCTCCGCAGTGTAACTGCATATTTCTGGCTCTGAGAAAAGAGGCAAGAGTTCTAATCGCTCTCTCCCTTTAATCTCGCAAAGGGGGCTTTGCGTTTCTGAGCTCAGTGTCACATGAAACTGATGCCTTCGATAGAGCGGAGTTTATTTTATGTCTCTTAAAGAGACGGGGTCTCACTATGTTGCGCAGGCTGGACTACAGTGGAGCGATAATGGCTCACTGCACCCTGCAACTCCTGGACTCAAGCGATCCTACCCCTTTACCCTCCTGAGTAGCTGGAACTACAGGCACGCACCACCCCGCCTGGCTTGAGATTCATTTTTAGCTAGAGTTTAAAAACTGCAGAAACAGGAACCTGCATTTTCCAGCCTAAGCCCGACGCAGTCGTAGGAGAACCCGAAGTGAGCAAACGTTTCCTTTGAACCTACTACTCGTCCGCTCGCTTCCGGTAGGCTCCTAAACGTCATCAGACAGCGCCGGAAGTGCCCTTACGCTGCCTAGGAGACGAGACGCGAGGCCGGCAGGACTCGCCGGGTGGCCATGGAGCTACCCTTAGGGCCGTGCGACGATTCCCGTGGCTGGGACGATGACTCGGATTCCGAGTCAGAGACAGACCCCGACGCCCAGGCCGAGGCCTATGTGGCCCGCGTGCTCAGTCCGCCAAAATCCGAGCTGGCGACCCTGCGCCCCTCGCAGCTGTCCACGCCCGCATCTTCCCCGAGCGCTTCGGGGCCTCGGGCCGCGTCCAAGGTTTCGGCCGTAAGTGAGCCGGGCCTTCTCAGCCTTCCCCCAGAGCTGCTGCTTGAAATCTGCTCCTACCTGGACGCCCGCCTCGTGCTCCACGTTCTGTCACGCGTGTGCCACGCGCTGCGCAACCTCGTGCGTGACCATGTCACCTGGAGGCTACGCGCGCAACGCCGTGTACGCGCGCCCTACCCAGTGGTGGAAGGTGAGTGCACCCAGGGGCCTGGGGCGACCTCCCGTGTCAGGCTTGGGGCGGGGAAGAGGTACATGGGGTTTTCTGGACACAGCCTCTGGAGCAGGCTTCATGGCTGTCGTGGCTCAGTCTGGAGCCTGAGGCAGTTACTGGTGGTGCTCAAGCACTTGAGGACCCCTGAGTGGACCACGAGGCAGTCAGGCACTTGGGATCCTGAGGCTGTAAAAACCCCTACCCTGGGGCTGAGGTCCCTGAACTTAGGATTCAAATATCCTCAGTCTTGGGGTCTTGTGGTACTGAGTCTCTGACCCTTGACAGGGGATTGACACAGGGACTTGAAGTCTTAGGCTCTGGAATTTATACTGGGGCTCAAAGTGAGCCCAAGGATCCTCAGATTCTGAGTCCAGCTTAGAAGCTGAGGCAGCACCTGTTGATGTCAAAACTCCTGAGCCCTAGAGCCTTGACCCAGTGAGGGATGAGACGGTGACTCCGGGCCCAGCCCCTGTAAACCCTTGAACCAGGTTAGGATTTGGGGTTGGGATCCCTGACACCAGACCTCAAGCCCTGGGTCTACCCTGGCATCTTAGGCAGGGCTTGTTAGTCACTCCTCTTGGCCCTGAGTTGATTGGTTCCTGGGGGAGGACAGCTTGGGAACTTTGAATTGATATCGTTCATCCTGAGGTATTGTTGCTCCTGATACAGCTGGATTCTCAGGCTCTTAAGCCAAGATGTATTTTAGGTGGGGTGTTGATATCTTTAACCTGGAAGCTTTGATTCTGCTTCTGAGTTAAGGTAATCAAACACCCGTAAGCCAAAATGTATTACAGGTTGGGTGTTGATATCCTTAACCTAGAAGCTTTGATTCAGCATCTAAGTTAAGGCAATCAAACACCCAGCCTTAGAGAGGAATCAGAATCACTCCGTGATCATTGATTCTCAAGGTGTTGCCATCCAGCCCCCTAGGTCAGACTCTCCCAAAAAGCTTAATAAACAGAGGTACTTGGATCCTGTCTATACCACTGAATCTCTGCATTTGGGGCTTGCGTTCTGCCTCTTGACAAGGCTCCCCAGATTCCAGATACTGTTTGAGAAACAGCTCCCTTGGTCTAGTTCAGATGGCTGAGGCAGGAAGGGTTTGTCATGAGGCCCCAGCTTCTATGCCAGGTCTGAGGATTGAGGGGGTGAGGTCAGAACTCAACATCCTGAGACTGCTGTCCTCTGAGTTTGGGTTGGGGGATGGGGCCTGGAGAGGTAGTTCTGAGACCCCAGTTCCCAATTTGTGGAAGTTGGAGTCAGGAGGAGTCTTAGACCTGCCTGGGAAATGAGCAGGCAGGCAGGCGGTTCCAAGGCCAGAGCCTAGACCTGATTGTGGTGGCCGAAGGGATCCCCATGGGGTTCTATCCAAGTCTGGTGTAGGGCGGGCTCCCTGGAAGCCAGGATTGGGTGTGGCCAGCTGGTGTGGGTGCTAGGGTCCCTACCCACCGGGGACCCTACTCGTGGTAACCCACAGAGAAGAACTTTGACTGGCCGGCAGCCTGCATTGAGCTGGAGCAGCACCTGTCCCGCTGGGCAGAGGATGGGCGCTGGGCTGAGTATTTCTGCCTGGCCAACGGGCACATTTCTTCCATTGACTCCGTGCTGCTGCTCCAGGTGAGACGGGGTCTGTGGGAGGCCAGGTAGGGGTGGGCCAGGGTGGCCCTGACAACATCACCTTGTTCCCTTCCCAGGGTGGGGCACTCTGTCTGTCGGGTTCTCGAGATCGCAACGTCAACTTGTGGGACCTGCGGCAGCTGGGGATGGAGCCCAGCCAGGTTCTGGTCAAGACCTTGGGCACCGATCGGTTTAGTACCCACAAGGTGAGAGGTCAGGTAGGGATAGGAGGTGTGAGGCCTGAGTAGGGCATCTTGGTTAAGGCCCCAGGTTTAGGTGCAGGACCACATCGATCTGAATCTGACTCTTAATCTTGGTGTGACTTTGGGTGAGATGTGTGACTTCTCTGTGCCTCAGTTTCTACTTCCTTTCCAGTGGGTAATTAGGATGAGGATGAAGGAGATGCATGCATTAATGTGGACGTGCATTAAGCTCAGGCTTTTTTTTTTTTTTTTTTTTTTGAGACAGTCTGGAGTACAGTGGCACAATCTCAGTTCACTGCAACCTCCACCGCCCAGGTTCAAGCGATTCTTCTGCCTCAGCCTCCTAAGTGGCTGGGACTACAGACGCATGCCACCATGCCCAGCTAATTTTTGTATTTTTTTTTTTTTTTTTGAGATGGAGTTTCGCTCTTGTTACCCAGGCTGGAGTGCAATGGTGCGATCTCGGCTCACCGTAACCTCCGCCTCCTGGGTTCAGGCAATTCTCCTGCCTCAGCCTCCCGAGTAGCTGGGATTACAGGCATGTGCCACAATGCCCAGCTAATTTTTCGTATTTTTAGTAGAGACGGGGTTTCACCATGTTTACCAGGATGGTCTTGATCTCTTGACCTCGTGATCCACCCGCCTCGGCCTCCCAAAGTGCTGGGATTACAGGTGTGAGCCACTGCACCTGGCTAATTTTTGTATTTTTAGTAGAGACAGGGTTTCACCATATTGACCAGGCTGGTCTCAAACTCCTGACCTTGTGATCTGCCTGCCTTGGCCTCCCAAAGTGCTGGGTTTACAGGGGTGAGCCACTGCACCTAGCCTTTTTCTTTTCTTTTCTTTTCTTTTTTTTTTTTTTTTTTTTTTGAGATAGAGTCTCTTTCTGTCACCCAGGCTGGAGTGCAGTGGCATGATCTCAGCTCACTGCAACCTCTGCCTCCCAGGATCAAGTGATTTTTCTACCTAAGCCTCACCAGTCACTAAGGATGTCAGGCTGGTGGCTGAGATCTTGGGCTTGGGGCCAGGCTGCTGGGTTCAAATCCCCACTGTGCTACTTCCTGGCTATGTGACCCTGAGTGAGAAACTTAACCTCTCTGGGGCCCAGTTTCCCCATTTGTAAAATGAGATTCATAATAGTGCCCTCCTCAGCAGGATCTGTGGGCAGTAAGTCAGCATCCAGCACTCTGTGCATATTAGCTCCTGAGGCTGGAGATGTTTTCTGCCCATTTTGCTGATGAATGAACTGAGGGAGGTGATATGGTTTGCCAGGTCACAAAGCAGAGGCCACACTCTTAATCATTTGTCATATAGTTTCAAACCACTACTGGTGCTGAGTCTCTGCAGAACTTAGAACTGTTACTGGGCCGGGGTACAGGGGCTCATGCCTCTAATCCTAATACTTGATGAGGCTGGGGAAGGAGGATTGCTTGAACCCAGGAGTTAGAGTCCAGCGTGGGCAACAGGGGGAGACCCTGACTCTAAAATTAGCCGAGCGTGATGGCATGCACCTGGAGTCCCAGCTACTTAGGAAGCTGTGGTACAAGGATCGCCTGAGCCTGGGAGTTGGAGGCTGCAGTGCCATGATCGCACCACCGCACTCAAGCCTGGGTGACAGAGCAAGAGCTCATCTCAAAAAAGAGTTTCTGGGGCTGGGTGCAGTGGCTCACGACTGTAATCCCAGCACTTTGGGAGGTTGAGTTGTTCGCATCATGAGGTCAGGAGATCGAGACTATTTTGGCTAACACAATGAAACCCTGTCTCTACTAAAAATACAAAACAAATTAGTTGGGTGTGGTGGCATGTGGCGGTAGTGCTAGCTACTCGGGAGGGAGGCTGAGGTGGGTGGATCACCTGAGGTCAGTAGTTTGAGACCAGGCTGGCCAACATGGTGAAACCCTGTCTCTACTAATAATACAAAAATTAGCTGGGTATAGTGGCACACCCCTGTAATCTCAGCTACTAGGGAGGCTGAGCTGTGAGGTTCAACCCTGGAGGCACAGGTTGCAGTGAGCTGAGATTGCGCCATTGCACTCCAGCCTGGGTGACAAGAGTGAAACTCCATCTCCAAAAAAAGGAAAAGAAAAACAGATTCTGGGGTGGGTGTACCTGTCCTGGACTCTGAAGTCAGGCTGACCCACAGATGCAAACTAATCTCAACTCAGTTTGAACTTGCTCTGTGTTCTTGTGTTGTGTCCTTCCTTCCTGTGACCCTTGATTTTTGTCATCTGTGCAATGGGGATGATCACCTGGAGCCAGAATTGGGTGTCATACTTACTGCAGGATCTATCACAGTGGGCACTGGGGAGGATGAGCTGTGTGGCTTTGGGTGAGTCACTTGACCTCTCTGAGCCTTACCTGCAAAAACAGAAAGATTCTAGTCTGGGACCCCCATGGGCTGTGGCCGGTATGTGACTGTTGCTCCCGTCCACAGGGCTGGGTGTGGTCGCTGGCGGCACAGGACCACTGTGTGTGCTCCGGCTCCTGGGACAGCACAGTGAAGCTCTGGGACATGGCAGCAGATGGGCAGCAGTTTGGCGAGATAAAGTGTGAGGGGGCCTGGGCAGGGGACCTGGGGGGGGAGGGGTAGGACCCTGCCTGCCACTGCCCAAGCCTTGTGGTCTGTGTATTCCCAGGGCTAACTCAGCCGTGCTGTGCCTCTCCTACCTGCCTGACATCCTGGTGACCGGCACCTATGACAAGAAGGTGACCATCTACGACCCCAGAGGTGGGCCAGGTTGGGAGATGTCATGCTGGGAAAGGAGAAATTTGGGCCTCACAGCCTGGCTGGGACGATAGTCACATAACCAAATACTCACCACTCAGAGTGGCCATGCTGTGCTGGTGCAATACAGGCAACTTAGGCAGTGGGTGCAAAGGAAGCCTGGGCAGCCCCGGGGGCGGGTTAGAATCCTGGCTCTCCCACTTCCTAGCTATGTGACCCCCAGACAGACTTGAACCTGTTTCCCCATCTGTGAAATCCAGGTAATAATACCACTGCCAGCCCCTTGGGGTTAATGGAGGAAACATGATAATAGGAACAGTGGTGGATTAACTAAGTTTTTTTATGCTGGGTGTGATGGCACCTACCTGTAGTCCCAGCTACTCTGGAGGCTGAGGGAGGAGGATTGCTTGAGCCCATGAATTTGAGTTCAATCTGGGCAATATAGTGAGACCTCCATCTCTAAATAAAAATTAAAAATAGGCTGGGCGCAGTGGCTCACGCCTGTAATCCCAGCACCTTGGAAGGCCGTGGCGGGTGGATCACAAGGTCAGGAGTTCAAGACCAACCTGGACAAGATGGTGAAACCTCTCTCTACTAAAAATACAAAAACTAGCCGGACCTGGTGGCAGGTGCCTGTAATCCCAGCTACTTGGCAGGCTGAGGCAGAGAATTGCTTGAACCCGGGAGGCAGAGGTTGCAGTGAGCTGAGATCGCACCACTGCACTCCAGCCTGGGCGACAGAGTGAGAATCCCTCTCAAAAAAAAGATTTAATTAAAAAAATATAAATATATTCATTTACATAAACACCTAGAAGGAACACTGACTGGAAATAGTGTTTTCTGTTGTTTGTTCATTCGCTTTTCTTTTTTTTTTCTTTTTCTTTTTTTTTTTTGAGATGGAGTCTAACTCTAGCCTGTTGCCCAGGCTGGAGTGCAGTGGCATGATCTCAGTTCACTGCAACTTCCGCCTCCGGGGTTCAAGCAGTTTTCCTGCCTCAGCCTCCCAAGTTGCTGGGATTACAGGTGCCTACTACCATGCCTGCTAATTTTTGTATTTTTAGTAGAGTTGAGGTTTCATCATGTTGGCCAGGCTGGTCTTGAACTCCTGACCTCACATCATCTACCCACTTCTGCCTCCAAAGTGCAGGGATTACAGGTGTGAGCCACTGAGCCTGGCCATTTCTATTTTTTTCTAAAATAGAGACGGGGTCTTGCGGCATTGCCCAGGCTGGTGTTGAACTCCTGGGCTCAGGTGATCTGCCCATATCAGCCTCCCAAAGTGCTGAGATTACAGGCGTGAGCCACTGTGTCCGGCCTATATTCATTCTTATTTTGTTTAATTGAAGGGCCAGTGTACCTTGTCCAGGCAGAGCTGGAGCAGGGCTGTGGGGTAGAGGTGTGTTTAAGGCCAATCTGAGGGTGGATGCAAGACTGAGACCACCTTGGTCAGCTCCATGCTGAGAACAGTAGCTGGGACTGGAGGAGGGATATGGGATGGGGACAGGGATGGGCAGAGGCCTGGGGCTCTTGTGGAGGCCTGGATTTAGCTGAGGCAGGAAAGGAGAGATGGGTCACTCTGTGGAGTTGGGGAATGAGCAGATCAAGGGTTTTACCAGACAGAATGGAGACCCAGGATGCTCCCCTGGGCTGCCGGGGGGGCCTTTGAGGGGCTCTGATTTCCCTCCTCCCCGGCCCATTGCCCGTGAAGCCGGCCCAGCCCTGTTGAAGAGCCAGCGACTACACTCTAGCCCAGTGCTGGCCCTGCTGGCGGATGACCAGCACATCATCTCAGGCAGCGAGGACCGCACCCTGGTGGTGGTCGACCGCCGAGCCAACAGAGTCCTGCAGCGGCTGCAGGTGGGCCCTCCCCAGGGGCCTGGACGGATGGGGACGGTCACAGGCCCAGTCCGGCCTGAGCTGCCGTGTCCCTTGTCCCTCTCACAGCTGGACTCCTACCTGCTCTGCATGTCCCACCAGGACATGCAGCTCTGGACTGGTGACAACGAGGGCCTGCTGCACGTCTTCACCAACCGCGACGGCTGCTTCCAGCATGTCCGGGTCTGCTGTGGCTCCTGCCTCTGCCCATCCCTCCCCCTCAGGCCTCCTTCCTACCCCTGGGCTCCCGGTGGTGTTGGCGGGGGGCAGTTGGGAGAGCCTCGTCTGAGTGTCTCCTGACCCCCTCCCGCAGTCCTTCAATGTGGGCCACAGGTCTCACATCACTGGGATCCAGTACTCTCTGGGAGCCTTGTACACCACATCCACTGACAAGACCCTCCGGGTGAGGCTCCTGCCCAGCCCCTGCCCTCCCCACCTCCATCAGCCAGGGACACCCCTCTTGACCTTGGCCTGTTGCCCCTCACCAGGTGCACGTGCCCACAGACCCGCCAAGGACCATCTGCACCCGAAGGCACGACAGTGGGTTCACCGGGGTAAGGTCCTGCCCCATGTGCCCTGCCCAGCTGGCCACAGCGCCACTGTCCCTGACTCCTCATATTCCTGCCCCCTCCCAGGTCTGTGCTGAGGGCAACCTGGTGGTGGCTGCCTCTGGGGGCCTGTCGCTAGAGGTCTGGAGGCTGCAGGCCTGAGCAGGTGGACGTGGATGTGGATACTGCCGGCTGGGGGCTGGGCCTCAGCCTCTGTTCTTTGGGGACCGTCCTCAACATTGGTGCTGCTTCTCTCCCCCACAGGGCCTAGGGCACAAGGAGTCCTGGCCACATCCGGGTGAAGGTCCTGGCCTGGGCCCTCTGCATATGGGGTTGAAGTTGGGTTTCAGGCCCACCCAGGGGGCTGCCCCCCACCCTAGGGCCCTGTTTTTTCTTTGGGGGGGGGTGGGGCCTGGTTTTGTTATGATTTGGATGTGCAGCTCTCAGGTGAGAGTGAAGGAGAAATAAACCTGACGTGTTGGTGCTTGCGCCTGCAGTATGAGTATGGTTTGCCCACTGGGGCTCTGCCTGAGCCTGCTTGGGGCTTGGGGGGCTGTGGGCCTGTGTGGGAGTGACTGGGAGAGATGGCAAGGCTGGGCTGGGGGTTGCCTGCCAGCTGCTGCTGTGCATTTGTCTGAAGAGGCAGAGTCCTGAAGACTGTGAGCACCTGTGTCTATGATGTCACTTCCGTGTGTGTGACATGTAACGTGTGGTATGTAGATTAGGACTCAAATCCTGGACATTTGTCTGCATGGTGGGAGCGGGCACCTGCTGAGGCTCCCATGGGTGCTGGGGAGGGCAAGACAGACAGTGTGCTCTCCATCGGGGCTTCAGGGTGTGTGTGTGCGCTGCTGTGACTGTGACCCTGGGGGCAGGCCAGGGAGGAGGCTGGGCCAGGTGTGCGCCTGGCCCCTGCAAGCCCAAAGTCCCTCTGTTCTGCCATCTCAGCCCAGCCCAGCTGGGAAGTATTCACTTCATGTTTATTGAGGCCCTCTGGTCTGCTCAGGCCACAGGGTGGACGTTGTCCTGGGTTCATAGGATGGCACAGGGCTTCTTCTCCTTGAAGGGATTGGTGGTGGCCGGGATGCCCACAAGGAAAGGGTCACTCTTGGCCTGCTCCGTGCAGAACTGCAGCAGATCGGCAGCCGCCTTGAACACCTGCAGACCAACCCAGTCAGCCAGACCCAGGCATGCACCTATGCGCTGGCCCATGTGTTCCCACCTCTTCCCACCTCCTGCACCGGCCCCGACCCTCACCTTCACTTGGTCGATGTCTGCCTCCATCCGCAGCTGCTCCACTGCCCGGCGGGCCTGCCCAATGTCACAGCCGATGGCCACCTTGCTGGACATCTGGGGAAAGTGAGCAGGGCTGTGGGCAGCAGGCCCAACCTCAGCCCCCTAGAGGGAGCCTGAGGTTCCCACACCTCCTCCTGTGTCCCTTGGGGACTGCAGGATAAGGGTGGCTATTCCTGGACCTGTCAGGTCCACACACCTCGGCTAAGGGCTCCGGCCGAAGCCCCGTCTGGCTGCCTGGTCCTCTGGTGGCTGCCCGCTCTGGCTCCCTCCCTTACCCAGCCTGGCCTCTCCAACCCCCTTTTCTCCCTCTGCTACCCCTGCAGAGACTTTGAAGCCAGGACTTTCATGGACTAAAATGTCACCAGCCACAGCAGCAGCAGCTGCCTCGGCTTAAGGGGTCCGTGCCCCAGGAAGCCCTGTGGCTGCCCTGGTGTCACGTGTCACCTGTGTCTCTGTGGGCTAGGTGCCTTGGCTGGGGGAGTAAGGAGGCCTTGGCCTCCCCCTGAGCTGCTGGATCTCCTGCTGACTGTTCCTGACAAATCTGCTTTGGCAGCTTCTGCCACCCCTGATGTGTAGCCCTGCCCCTCCTCTCACCACTGCCCAGGCCCAAAAATCCAATGCCTTCATTCTTTTTTTTGACAGTCTTGCTCTTTCACCCAGGCTGGAGTGCGGTGGCGCAATCTCGGCTCACTTGCAGCCTCCACTTCTCAGGTTCAAGCGATTCTCCTGCCTCAGCCTCCTAAGAAGCTGGGATTACAGCCATATGCCACCACACCTGGCTAATTTTTGTATTTTTAGTAGAGATGGGGTTTTACCATATTGGCCAGGCTGGTCTAGAACCCCTGACTTCAAGTGATCCGCCTGTTCGGCCTCCCAAAATACTGGGATTACGGGTGTGATCCATGGCTCTCCGCCTTCTCTGATTTTTCTTTTCTTTTCTTTTTGAGACGGAGTCTGGCTCTGTCACCCAGGCTGGAGTGCAGTGGCGCAATCTCGGCTCACCACAACCTCCGCTTCCCGAGTTCAAGCAATTCTCCTGCCTCAGCCTCCTGAGTAGCTGGGACTACAGGCATGTGCCATAATGCCCGACTAATATTTTTGTTTTTTTGTTTTTTTGAGACGGAGTTTCGCTCTTGTTACCCAGGCTGGAGTGCAATGGTGCGATCTCGGCTCACCGCATCCTCCGCCTCCTGGGTTCAGGCAATTCTCCTGCCTCAGCCTCCTGAGTAGCTGGGATTATAGGCGTGCGCCACGATGCCCAGCTAATTTTTTTTATTTTTAGTAGAGACGGGGTTTCACCATGTTGACCAGGATGGTCTCGATCTCTTGACCTCGTGATCCACCCGCCTCGGCCTCCCAAAGGGCTGGGATTACAGGCTTGAGCCACCGCGCCCGGCCTTATTTTTGTATTTTTAGTAGAGACGGGGTTTCATCATGTTTGCCAGGATGGTCTCAATCTCCTGACCTCGTGATCCACCCACCTCAGACTCCAAAAGTGCTGGGATTACAAGCATGAGCCACCATGCATGGCCTCTTTTTCTTTAAACCCAAGTTCTTGCTCTGTCACCCAGGCTGGATGCAGTGGTACAATCATAGCTCATTGTAACCTCAAACTCCTGGGCTTAAGTGATCCTCTCACCTCAGCCTCCTGATTAGGTAGAATTATAGGTGTGAGCCACCATGCCCTGCTAATTTATGTTTTTAACTTTTTGTAGAGATGCTTCTATGTTGTCCAGGCTGGTCTTGAACTCTTAGCCTCAAACAATCTTCTTCCCTTGGCCTCCCAAAGGGATTATAGGCATGAGCCTCTGAGCACCTCCCCCGCTGAGATTCTAATATGTGCCCAGCACACTGTGCAAAAAACAAAATGAGCAATGATACAAGACAAAACCCTGCCATCACGGACCTGCCATTCTAGTCAGGCGGGGATGGCCAACAGAAAACAATGTACTTATACATCTGAAAGAGTATGAAAAAAGAATAAAATCAAAGTAAAGGGGACAGGAGTGGTCAGGCAGGCCTCTCAGAGAAGTAACATTTGAACTTGGTCCCAAAGGAGAAGGAACTGAAACATGGGGTGTTCTAGGCAGAGGGAGCAGCAAGTACACGACTCCTTGGACAGAAAAGCTTGGTGGGTTCCAGGAACAGCAAAGAGGTCCATGTAGCTGGAGAGGAGAGAGGGAGGGAGGGCCAGCATGGCGTGAGACGTGAGGTTGAGAGGTGCTCTTTTTTTTTTTTCTTTTTGAGGCGGAGTTTCACTCGTTACCCAGGCTGGAGTGCAATGGCGCAATCTTGGCTCACCGCAACCTCCACCTCCTGGGTTCAAGCAATTCTCCTGCCTCAGCCTCCTGAGTAGCTGGGATTACAGGCACGCGCCACCATGCCCAGCTAATTTTTAGTATTTTTAGTAGAGATGGGGTTTCACCGTGTTGACCAGGATGGTCTCGATCTCTTGACCTCGTGATCCACCCGCCTCGGCCTCCCAAAGTGCTGGGATTACAGGCTTGAGCCACTGCGCCCGGCCGAGAGGTGCTCTTTAAGACCACTGTGAAAAGCTTGCAATTTACTCCCAGGGAAGCTACCACTAGGAGGTTTTAACAATGATGTGTTTGATTCATTTATTTATGTTTAAAGAGCTGTGGCACGTGCCTGTGGTCCCAGCTACTGAGGAGGCTGCAGCGAGAGGATCACTTGACCCCAGGAGGTCGAAACTGCAGTGATGTGGAATCCCCCGACTGCACTTCAGCCGTGGTGACAGTGAGACCCTGCATAAAAAAAACAAAAACAAAACTCTCTGATCTTCCTGTTAGGTGGGAGATGGATTGGAGGAGACCAAAGCCAGCTTGTAGGCTATGGGGTTAAAGAAAATGCCTGGATTTCAGACCTACTTTATAGGTAGAGGTTGGCAGACATGTTTAGAAGGATGTATGTGTGTTATGAGAAAAGGGGAGACAGCAAGCTCCATTTTCCAATTTTATTATTTATTTATTTAAGACGGAGTTTCGCTTTTGTTGCCCAGGCTGGAGTGCAATGGCGTGGTCTCGGCTCACCACAACCTTCATCTCCTGGGTTCCATCGATTCTCCTGCCTCGGCCTCCTGAGTAGCTGGGATTACAGGCATGCACCATCACGCCCAGCTAATTTTGTATTTTTAGTAGAGACGGACTTTCTCCGCATTGGTCGAGCTGGTCTCAAACTCCTGACCTCAGGTGATTCACCCATCTTGGCCTCCCAGAGTGCTGGGATTACAGGTGTGAGCCACCACGCCCAGCTTATTTGTTTAGTTTTGAGATGGAGGCTCGCTCTGTTGCCCAGGCTGGAGTGCAGTGGGGTGATCTCAGCTCAGTACAACCTCTGCCTGCAGGTTTCAAGTGATTCTCCTGCCTTAGCCTCCTGAGTAGCTGGGATTGCAGGTGCTCGCCACCACCCTGGCTAATTTTTGTATTTTTTAGTAGAGACAGCGTTTTGCCATGTTGGCCAGGCTGGTCTTTTAACTCCTGACCTTAGGTGATCTGCCCACCTCAGCCTCCCAAAGTACTGGCATTACAGGTGTGAGCTACCACATGCGGCCCCATTCCCTGTTTTTCAGTCTAGTGTATGAATGGAGAGTGGGGCCATTTGCTGAGATGCAGAATGATCAGGGATTTGTGGAGAGGGAACTGAGGGGGCAACTTTGAGATCAAGTGAGGATGTCAAGGAGGATGTCTGGCTCCTCCAACAAGGTAGGCCCATTCCAGCCTTAGGGCTTCTGCTGTTCTGTCTTCCCAGGTACAGGGAATGGCCTCCCTTCATCTTCACATATGGGGACTTTCTCAGCCTTCTGGCTTTGGCTCAAATCTCACCTCCTTGGCATCCTTCATCCATCCATTCAGCTAGCACTTTGGGAGGCTGAGGTGGGCAGATGACCTGAGGTCAGAAGTTTGAGACCAGCCTGACCAACATGGAGAAACCCCATCTCTACTAAAAATATAGAATTAGCTGGGTGTGGTGGCACACGCCTGTAATCCCAACTACTTGGGAGGCAGATCACCTGAGGCAGGAGAATCACTTGAACCCAGTAGGTGAAGGTTGCCGTGAGCCAAGATCACTCCATTGCACTCCACTCTAGCCTGGGCAACAAGAGTAAAACTTCGTCTGAAAAAGAAGGAAAAAAAAGGCTGGGCACGGTGGCTCAAGTCTGTAATCCTAGCCCTTTGGGAAGCCAAGGCAGGGGGATCATGAGGTAAGGAATTCAAGACCAGCCTGACCAACATGGTAAAACCCCATCTCTACTAAAAATACAAAACTTAGCTGGCATGGTGGCGGGTTCCTGTAATCCCAGCTTCCTAGTAGGCTGAGGCAAGATAATCACTTGAACCCAGGAGGCAGAGACTGCAGTGAGTTAAGATTGAGCCACTGCACTCCAGCCTGGGTGACAGAGTGAGACTCCATCTCAATAAAAATATCCTGATTGCACTTATCATTGTGTTAACATTCTATCTCCACAGTCAGACTGTGGGCTCCAGCAGGGTCCACATCTTGTTCTTTTTCACCACAAATACCTCAGTGCCCAGCACAGGGCCCACCGTATAGAACACACTACATGAATTTTAGAGTAAGTGAATAATTCTTTGGACTGTATGCACTGTTAGGAGGGTGCTTTGCGATACAGACGCCACCGAGGGTCTCACAGTCTTGCTGGAGGGAAAGAGATGTCAGCTGTGGGTCCCAGAAGAGGCCGCTGACCCAGTGGAAGTTCAGGGAAGGCTTCCCAGAAGGGGTGATAGCTGCAGCCATAGGGAAAGGAAGAACAGAGCGTTATGCAGCATGTCAAGGCTTTGGAAACCTTCAAGGGCATGAACCAGGCTCACTATCCCATTAGACGAGAGAGGCTGAGGAAAGTTGAAACTGTGTCTCATTCCGCCTGGTGATTGAAATCCTGTCCATGGGCGACGCTTAAGAAGCGATCCTCTATACTCCAATAATGTTAAGTTAAAAAAAGAAAGAAAGAAAAAGAAAAAAAGGAAAAAAGAGAGAAAAAAGAGTAGATCCCCATACAAAAATTAGCTAGGCACTGTCCGGCGCGGTGGCTCACGCTTATAATCCCAGCACTTGAGAGGC